ATTTCCTTTCACACTTTTCTTAATTTTTCACCTAATCTCATTTTTCCTGTTCTTTAACCATATACTATTTCATGTTTCTCTTTGATCTATGAAACAATTTTTGATAAACATTATTTTTTTTAAAAAAAAAACAGTACCATTGTGTCTGTGTGTATGTACAGAGGTATATAATATGATAGTTTTTCTACAAGACTTTAAAACTATTGCCTAGAAAAAGGACTTGAAGCTTACAAAATCATGTAGATAGTATCAAGCAGAATGATCTCTTGCAGTCCCCTTAAATAAGAACACCATGCAAGATGTCTAATTTTAAGCCAAAAAGTTAAAATAATTGGAAGCCTTTACACGATCTCAAAAATCAGTGGGCAATTTTGAAAAGCAATTAGATGCTAAATTTTGACAGCATCTTTGGCATGGAGATTGCAAACTATATTACTTCTAAAATCCATCTTACATATTCTGACTTTTTAAAAGAATTGCAAGGTAGGATACTATTGCAAGCTTCTGATTACATTAAGTTGCTAATCAGCATTTTAGAAAATTTGGTGGTGGTTCCTCTACTGAATACAAAAAAAGCTTTGATTCAATCCAAATTACATTTTTCCTTAACTTATGAACACAATTGAGCCTCAAATTTCCATTGCTAAGCAAGACTGTTGTTAAGTGAGTTGTTGATATAAATAGATGACTGAAAATTCAATGAATTTATGAGAAAGAATAATTGCTATTAAATTAATATAATTCTAGGTTTCTACATGGATACAAAGAGAGATCCCTTAGTATGGGGATGGACAGATACTGATATATATATATTCTATTTAAATTGCAGTTTCTGTAAAAAGATTTTTCTAGATATCCATCTTTCACCATGGGATATAATTTTAAATGGAATCTAAATGATCTGTCTCAAAACCATTATGTGAACAACTATAATGTTGATCTCACCAATATTTCGGCAGGGGCTTGGTTGCAAAAACTGATTTTTTTCAAGGCCTGTTTAGCCAATTTTGTGATAGTTCAGTCTCTATTTATATGAAGAACTGACAAATTGGGATTACATCAATTTTAAAATTGCAGGTAAATCCTTCTTAAGAGTGTAAGAGCAAAATGTAGTATTAATGTTTGGGATTACCTTAATTATTCCTTATAAATGTATTGATATGCTAAATATGCTAAATGCCAGAGTTGGAATAAACAAACATTCAATTAATTCCTAAACCTCTAAATCACTTGTTATATTGGAAAGTGTTTTGGAAGAGTCTAAACCTTCCAAATTCCTGAGTCTGTTTGGATTGAGGTAGGTTGTAAATACAGTATTTTAAAACAAACAATCCTACTGAATTTCTGATAGACAGCTGAACAATATTAGATAGACATTTGTAATTTATAGGAATTTTGACTCATGGAGCAGGAATACCCTAGTTTAACCAATTTGTGATCTTGTATTTAAAGAATATTAATTACATTGCTTATAGCCTTAACTTGAGACTAATTCATCAAAATATAATTTTTCATGAGTTGTATCTATGTTTTTATAAAAATAATGTAGACAATAAAATTTCCTTTTCATTACTATGAGACTTCACAAATAGCACAAAAATTACATTTGCCATATATTAGAAATACTTTTTATTCTAACTATAGAAAAAAAAGGACTGTTTAAAATTGCTGTGATAAACTAACATATTACTAAAGAACAAACCAAAAGAAATTTGACTGACAAAATGGGCACTGTTTATCCTTTTATTGCAACTTCCCATCTTCATTAAGTAACAATTCCCAGAATCGCAGCTGGCATCATTGCAATCTGAGAATCAGGAGAGTGCCAGGACAGTTTATCAGAGTATGTAAATTAATTTAGTAATTTTGAAATAGGTTTCTTTAAAAATAATTTTATTTTTTGTCTAAATACATATGAAAAATATCATTATATAAAACATGAAAAAGTCCATGATCAAGTTAGGAAACTCTTTATAATCTGATATCACCATTTTCAGTATTAAACTTATATGATCTGAAATATTAATTCTTATTCTGAAAGGCTATTCTACAGGCAACTACTTCAATCTCACAATGGGAGTAACAGAAAATTATTTTCTTATTTAAATAAAATCTGAAGGATTCAGACTCAGACAAGATTGAACTGTAAAACTGTAAACCAAGAAGACAATAAGACTTGAAAAAGTTTTTTAAAAATGTACCTGCCATGAAGTTGGATGGCTGTGACTGAGGTTCCATTGGGAAGACACTATGTCAACAGATGCTTTAGCCATATTAAGTAAATTCATCCATCCCTGGAAAAGAGACAAGTGGGATGGCGCATTGTCTGAATAGTTTATGCCTTCAGGAATGTTTTCCACAAGAGTAACTCTGAGAAGACACAAAGAAAACACAAGACAGGTTTCAAATGTTCCCTTTTTATAAATTCATCAGCTCTCTGGGGCTTTCTTCAATCTCTGCCTGTCAAGTGCTGGAGAAATCAGGAAATCCAGGCAATTCAAATCAATATAAAGATTTATTGCAAGTTTAAGCTCTTTACAAGAATCTGACCAACTGGCTGTCAAGGGGAATGACCGGGAGATAAGAGAGGCATTTAAGGTAGGCTGGACTTAGATCTCTTGCGGGCATGCAGGGACTGGTGACTTATGACTCCTTTGACCCTTCCCTCAGGCTCAGCCTGGTCATCTGCTACACTGCCTTAACTGGGGTTTGAATTGGGTGTGGGGTGTGTCTGTTGTGGTACATTACTCCACACATACTTGCATCTCTGCTAGCCTTCCTGCTTTGTTATGTCATATTTTGTTCCCAAAGTAGCATTAATGATTACAAAGACTATCCGCTTTCCATTTTAAATATGTTTAGGATTATAGAGAATTGTAAGTCAGACATATTAGAATCTATATTTGCCTTTCAATTAGTATAGTGCTGCTTAACTTAAATTGGAGTTTGACTCTCTAACATCTCAAGACACAATCCTTTACTAATCTTGCTACACTTTCTATTGCTAAAAGCAGAGGTTATGTGGAGTGTAAACTAATATTTTATGTGATCTTTCATTTAATCTTCATCTATATCCTCAAGAATATTACATTCAGTGTTCTATAGAAACAAAGAAACTTGGCCATGCATTTATTTATAGCTTAATAATACTTTGAACTGAATAATTCTTATCCTTTACTTGTGAAATTTACCAGGCAGCCAGGTTAAAAGGTGCTGCTTTTTATATATTAATTCATTACTTTTCATCTGATAGTTTATCCATAATTTACATGGGCTGGTATTAAATACAACAATATGACATGAACTCCCAGTTAACCATATATTAATATTAAAACATTTTAAAAAATGATTTTATTTTTTTAAGTCAAATGACTTAGATTTCAAAAACGTTGAAATTTTATTATAGTATCTGGTTGAAAATAAAATCTAAAATGTATTGAAGTATAATTTCTAAAGAGCTTCTGCTACTCAATGCACATAGCATTCAGTTAGATAGACCAATTGTTTGATTTCTATCTTCCAAGGTTGACCATCTTCCAGAATAAGATTTAAACAGCAATGAGATAACAATAGAAACAAAAAGCACAGGGTCATGTTTTGCATTATATTTTCACTACAAGATAAAAAATGTTTTTGCATTAGAAGAATTTTTTTCTGGTTAAGTAGCAATAGATTAAAAATGCAAATTGTTTCTGGGGGAAGGGTGACTAAATATTGATGATTAAAAATGAAAATACTGACCTGTCTGTACTACACATTGCAAGGAAGATAAATATGGCCAAGAAAAAAGACAATCAGGTCAAGGGCATCTATACTGTAGAACATACTAAAATGATATATTAACTTATACTGAAACTGACAAAGTATTATCAAGATAGATCTTGGTCCTTGATAAGGAAAATACAGATTGAGCATCAGTTATAAATAAGTGGTGAAAATTAGAGCAAGTAGATGAATGCCTACACCTGGTTGNCGCAGAGCAATTTTTATTGCAGTACGCATGTGCGTGCAACGCACATCAAGTGCCCGCCCACAAGTGAACCGGTAGTAGTCCCTGCCAGAACCCATCAGGGAGTGAAACCATATACACAAATACAAATACTTAAATCGTGTTCAACTTTTCCACAGAACTAAATGAAAATCAAAAATGCTTGACATAACAAGGCATAATCCAGCAATGGTTTTGCATACCACATCAACACCCCATATGTATGATGTAAGCAATATAGCTTTATCATTATAATAAGACAAAACAAAGTTCATGCCCTTACCCTTTTTTTCCAAGTCATTTAATAATTTGGACTTCTTGTGAAGAATATCACTCACTAATTTGATTTCAATATTTTGAGACAACAGTTCTTCCAATTTTTCAAAAATTTGCTGCCCCTATAAGGAAAATATTCATTTATTTACTTATGTAAAACATTGTTATGGTCACCCATTTTAAACCAAACTTTGGGCAGTTCACAACCCAAAAATAAAAACAATGTATAAACATGGAATTAAAACAAAAAAGGCTAGGTGCTACAACTAAATTTTCTCATGCATCGCATTACAAGTTCATTCCATGCCAATCTCAGCAGTTGGTGGAAAACCTAGGTCTTAAGTGCTTTTCAGAAGTCTAAGGAGATGGGGAACTTCTAGACAGAGGCTGCCATAGAAAAGGCACACTTCCTAAGTCCCATAAGATGGCAGCATTTATAGGAAGGGATGAACAAGGATTACATTATATATAAAATCAATGTGTTTATGGAATCTGCAGAGGAATTTATTTTTGAATGGTTTTCATATACACAAAAAGAGATTTAATATAGATAAAAAGGTAATTGGGAATTGAAACTGAATTGTATAGAAATGATGAATGCGGGATGTACAAACTTTTGCTGAGATTTGAAATGGAGGAAGAGCATATATATTCTTTTCTTTTTTCTTCTATCTATATTTCCTTTCACACTTTTCTTAATTTTTCACCTAATCTCATTTTTCCTGTTCTTTAACCATATACTATTTCATGTTTCTCTTTGATCTATGAAACAATTTTTGATAAACATTATTTTTTTTAAAAAAAA